GGGGGTCAAAGATTGTGAAAAGATCCCTTTTTAATGTTCCTCCTTCCACCACCCTTGTTGTTAAATCTTCCATCCAATTTCTCTTTCTTAATTCACCGCGCCAAAAGTAGGGTGATAAATAATTCGCCAATCGTATATTATCACACTTCTGATTGGACGGATTGACAAGAAAGGAAGGGAGGGGGACGCCGCCATTTTTCTTTTACGATCAGGAAACAAATCAATTCGTTTGATTAATTCGAATATTAATATTGTTAATAATAAATTGATTAATCATTTTTGAGGAGTGATAATGTGAACATTATTTTGATAAAATTGGTAAGCGCATATATGCGTCCTTATTCCAAGCGGATTGGTTCAGTTGGACTCATATACGCGCTTATGGTATTTAAATGATCCAAATTTTACTGTTAATGTGTAAATTATTTTGATAAAATTGGTAAGCGCATATATGCGCTCGTGGTACTCAAATGATTTAATTTTGTCGAATGAAAAATGATTTATTTATCGTATCTCGTTATATGGAATGTTGTTGTTGTTGTGTTGTTGTTATTGTTATAAAATATTATTTTATTAAAATTAACGATTAATAAAAAGCAAATGTAGATACCACTACTACTACTACTTCTACAACTACCACACCTTTCGATCATTATCTTTCCACGAGTTTGCATAGAAATTGTGAACTTGTGTTCGGCGTTGTAAGTTTTCTACGTTTCTCTTCTCTCCTGCGCCGTAAAATCTCTATCAAGGATTTTAAATCATTCTCTTTCGAGTTCCTTCGCCATAATCGTTTGTAAATAATATCTATGAGAATAATAATAATAATAATAATACTAAAAATGAAACGTAGGAGATATTAATTAACGAAATAAGAAACAAAAGCATAATCTAGATTAAAAAAAATGTTTATATAATAAATCAATGAGATTAATTATTTGATATAAAATACTTTATAGTATTCCATAAAAAAAAAAACAAAAAGAAATTCAACAATATCACAATGGGGATTATTAATACTTAAAACCTATTCCTTAAAAAGAAACATACAATATATTCTTAACATAGAATGAAATTCATAACCAATCGAATAATGAACAATATATTATCTTTTTTATTTATTAACAAATAATCTACACACTTTATTATAACTGCATAATTTTATACAAATTACAGAACGTCATGGTGGTGGTGGTAGGGTTAAAACTATTTTATAAAAATTACTAATATAATATTCTTAAAAGCACACAAGAACACAAGTATAAAAATCAAAAGAAAAAAGACAGGAAATAATTAACAAAGAAAAAAAAGAAAGAGGAGGAGGGTGAATAAAAAAAAAAATTCAAATATTTATTATATTTACAATATTCTTAGCAAGAAAACAAGTATATATAAAAATCAAAAGAAAAAGAAAAAAAAAAGGAAGGAAATAATTAACAAGGGAAAAAGTGGGGAGGGTGAATAAAAAATTCAATGTCAATTCATTCCCTCTCTCTCTCTCTCCTTCTCACTTTATATTTTTCTTAAGATGAGATACTAATAATAATAGTAGTAGTAGTAGTAGTAGTAGTAGTAGTAGTAGGTGTCTCATGGAACGAGCACGAAATAAATGTCTCCTACACGCGATGAGTCACAAATCCTAATGAAAATAATAATGCCCCGAAAGAGCGTTTCGTTTCCTTTCCTTTCCTTTCGTTTCGTTTCGTTTCTTTCCCGTTTGGGATCCTTGGTGCAATGCGGATAAATTTACTGCGCGATCCTTGGACGGATAAGGCATACCTGGGGACACCTCCTCCGTTGGGTTATAGTCTTCCTCCTCCTCCCCTCTCCTTTCCCCTTTCCACCATTCCCCCCATCCCCCCTTTCTTTTTCTGGTATACAACGGGTGGCATGAAACGTGCGACGTATCCGAGACGACACCACCAAGAACACCACGAACTAATACCAATCACCATCATCAGTTTTACCAACACCAACACCATCACACAACCAGCACCAACACCATTAAACAACTTTTGCTATCTCCTTTCTTTCTTTCTTTCTTGTTTACATATTGGATCTCATCTCCTTGGTCACAAGATTCTCCTGGAAATAATTCTTTCCTTGAACGTTCGTAGTTCTCCTATCCAAGAGGAGGGAGGAGGGTGGAAGGAGGAGGGGGAGGTTGGTCCGTACGACGAGAAAGATTTTCACCTGCCGAACAGATTTATCGTTGCTGGCATCCTTTCCCCCTCCCCCGTCTTTCTTCGACCTGCTGGACCATCCCTAAAAACCAACAAACAAACAAACCAACCACCACCACCACTACCACGTGTTTCAACGTCGTTAATTTTATTCTTTTTGTTTCTTTTTTTTTTTTTTTTCGTTTATTTCTGGTGTAGTGGGATCTTCGACAAATCGCATCGTAACATCTTTCCATTCCAACAACAACCACTAACGGGGTGGCTGTAGTTGGTGGTGGTTGGTGATTGTACATTCAAGAATCTGAATTTTAAACTAACGTAAGAAAATTCTTGATGGGATTTCCACATGAAATTTTTCTACAATTTATCTAAGAAGTTAACATTCTTCTCTTACGTGTTGTCCCCTTAAAAGGGTGGGGGTGGGAATGATAAATGAATCATTTTATATCAATCATTCGTACTCTAAAGTGATTGGTGATGATACATTCAAGAATCTGAATTTTTAACTTACATAAGACTTGATGGGCTCCTCATGAAATTTTTCTGCAATTTATTTCAGAAGTTAACATTTTTTTCTCATGTGTTGTCCCCTCTCAAAAGGTGGGAGGGGGGTGGGAATGATATATGAATCATTTCGTATCAATCATTCGTATTCTATTTATTCGCATTCTATTTATTCGCTTTCATTTAAATTGAATCATAATTGTAAAAGAAATGGTGCTTTTTATGACTTTTGGCTGGATCAAATAAGTAACTCGTGATATGATATACGTTGTTTAATACATTTTTTGGCACAGTGTTTTGTCAATCATTCTTATAAGAGTCATTCGTATTACTAATTTTCTGTCCACTTGCCAGATATAATAAAAGATTGTYMTWATATYTGWWTATATATATATATATATATATATATGTATATAAGTATATTTACATTTAATTTATACTTACTATTCAATTATTTGTATGTGATAAATTCAATAAAAATTATTATTAACCCCTTAACCTACAATTACGGGCATATAGACCGTAATTAAAATTATAAATATTTGTAAAAGAATTTATATAATATAATAAATATAAATAAAATAAAATAAAATATAAATTTTCTAACGTAAATCTTAGGTTAAGGGGTTAAACAAATGAAAACAAATATTTCCATAAATTTAAAAAGTTCAGCTATTTTATACATTTTTATGACTTCATTTCCACTTGTCTCGAATCCTCCTCCTCCTCCTCCTCCTCCTCCACCTTCTTCTTCTTCTTCTTAATCTCGTGACATCATCTTTCTTTCTCTCATACTTACAAACAACAACATTCATAGTAATAAATATAAATTCGTATGAAGAAAAATCAAACCTTATTCCCCTTTGTGATCGTAGAAGGAAAATTACGATTATAATTTAACCACCCCATCACAGTCCCTCTCTCTCTAAACTCTTCAGGTTATTTTGTTTATATATTCTTTAACTTTACTCATCTCTTTTAAGAATAAAATTTAAACGCGTCGAGTTTTGACGCTTATTATGAGGTAAAAGGGGGAACAAAAATAAATGGCTGACCGGTGATCATATTCGCTAACCAAAACGAATCATCATCCTCCTCCTCCTCCTCCTCCTCCTCCTCCACTTTAGTTCTTCAATAATCGTCACGTATTTCTTCCAACCAACCCCCTCCTACTTCTTCCTCCTAACCCCATCACCTTTCTTGTTAGGATAATCAAGAAAAAGATCAAACAAAATGGTTTGAGTGAGTAGGAAGAAGATTGTCCTGTCTTATCAATTGGCAGTAGCATCTATGGTTGATTCTGAGATAACAAGAGAGAGAATGGGAGAGTGAGTGAGAGAGACAGACCGGTTCTTGAAAACACCCCGTAGACAAGTGTCGAGGCACTTGCGACAGAGCCGTATCGTAACGGGCATGTCTAAACGACTTGTAAAACAAGTGCTTAACGATTGCTCGTGTACCTGGACGAATGCGTGGAAGTTGGTTGGTTGGTTAGTTGGTTGCTTGGTTGTGTGAGAAGAAAAGAATGTAAAAGTATAGAAAAGAGAGAGAGAGAGAGATAGAAACCCAGGCACACAAAGTCAGGAAACTTCAGGTCCCACGTGTGTTTCGAGACTTCGAGGAGGTCCAGCTTGCTAAATTGAGTTTACGAGGATGTGTCCGATGCACCTCTCTTCTCTGTCCTTTTTTTCTTTCTTCTTCTTTTCTGAGGGGGTTTTTTTTTCTTTCTCATCCTCTTCTTCTTTTATATTCAAAGCCCCCTCCCCAGTTAGTTTCGTTGTTTCATTCCTTCTATTTCTCTCTTGGTCTTTCTTATTCTGTATTATCCCTTTAATTCACAAGTACACATACATATATATATGTATATGTATGGGGAGGTGAAGGAGGAGATTCTCCAAGTACCCTTTTCTTCGTATTTTACACACGGACAACGGTATTATCTTATTCGATATTATTTCGATACTTTCTTCTACATTCTCCCCCCTTTATCCCCTCTCTCCGTTCTCGGATTCATTGCTGATCATGGAGTTGTTTCTGCGTTTCGCGTTACTATCTTGGTATCCTACTTGAATAACACTTACTTTTGCAATTACTCTTTGACTTTTTCTTTATAATAATGAAAATATTTCATTCCTATAAATTATACGCCAAACTAACCATCACAATGTATTTGTTATTATGTACCTTTTTATTTGTTCTTCTTTTTTCCAATAAATAATTCTTGTAATCACATTGATGAGGGGGGTGGTTGTAACCAGTACAATTGTATTCATCAAATATCGTGTTTGTATGGTTTTCTTTTTTGGATTTCAGTGGTCAAAGGGAAGACAAAACTCATGGCGGTGGGCTTGGTGATTCCAGTAGCGAATCAGGTGACGAAGCCAAAAGACAATCCGTCGTTCAACAACAACAACAACAACAACCATCAGCTTGTGCTGTTCAACAACAGCAACAACAACAGCAGCAACAGCAACAACAGCAAATGGTTGAACACCAACAAACTTCTAGCATGTACCAATTACCACCACCCGCTGCGGTTTCAAGTCCTCACTCCTATCATCAGACTCATGGTACTAGTCTGAGTCATCCTCATACACCTACCCATCATATGCAACACCATGACACCAGCAGCGAAAGCGGTGACGACAAAAGAAACCTTCATCATCAGTTGCAACATCATCTTCAGGTTGGTGCACATGGTACCCATGGTCTGGTTCATCCTACGGCTACTTTACCACCGCCACCACCAAGTTGTGCTCAACAAAAGAGTCAGCTTGATTATATGCAGTATTACAGCCCTCAGGTAATTAATAATCTTGTTTTTGTTTTTTATGTTTTCAATATCTGCACACACAGAGAAAACAAAAAATTTCTCAAATTTTTGTTCTTTCGTTTAAACTTTTAAATAATCCTCTGGACGCATATAAATTAACTTATGGGGATTCAGAGACGTATATATATGTTGCTTGACAATTTTTTTCTTTTTTTCTACCTTCCTCTTTTTACTTAAAATTTCTTTTCTTTAATAATATTTGTATTAGCTTAAAAAATCATGGTTAAATAAAAGTTTACTATTTGATCATCTAAAACTTGACAATTCAATTATTTCTATTAAATTATTATACAAAAGAAAAGAAAATAAAAGAAATGGTAAACTAAATGAGAAACTGTGTGTGTGAGGTAGGTTTTTGGCATAAGTGTTTTATTGTGATTTATAATCGCGAGAAAACGGGCATCGTATTATTATTATTATCTTTTTTTTTTTGGATTTGTTTTTGAAATGTTCGTAGGATTACTTGATAGGCACGCCCACCTCGGCGGATCTGCAGAAGTCGCTTCCACACACGGCCACGTCAATGCAGATGGGTGCTATAGCACCATCGATGGGTGGCCTAAGCCCTATGGCACCTTCGACGATGTTACAGAACACGATGCAGGGAGTCAACACCATGAATACCATGTCGATGAATGGTATGGGAATGGGAGCCTATCAGGGAATGGGTTCGATGGGGATGACTACTTCACACGCGGGTTACCACAGTGGACTCGTATTAGGCGATTATCATTCGTTGTGACCTTGGGCTCCTAATGGTCAGAGTAAAAGGAATCCCGAAAAAACTTAAAGGATTAAACTATTATTATTAAAACAACTAGTTTTTCCCCTTAAACTTCTCATCTCGTCGTCGATTTGTGTCTCAGCCACATAATAATAATAATAATAATAATAATAATATTAATAATAATAATATTAATAATATAATGATAATAATAATGATCCGATGCGTTCAACCATTCGATTGGTTTGCGCGACACACGATTTCCCCCACCACCAACACTTCGCACACCCCACCACCACCACCCCGTTATCCAACCGAAAAAGTGAGGACTCCTATATTTTTTTTTTTTAGCACGAGCTGAGAAAATAAATGAAAATTTAGATCAAACATATTAATAATAATAATAATAATAATATAGAGACAAATTTATATCATTTGAATTTGTTCAAATGTGGTTTGATTATCTCAGTTTTATAATAATAATGGAGTCATCCGAAATAAATGGCCCACTTTTTCTTGGAGGTGGGTTTCGGTTTCCGCGTACGTTTCCGGATAAAATAGCAAAAGACATATTAGCATTTTTCTTTATCCCTTGTTTTTTTCAATATAATATAAATCTTTCTGCACACCGTAGCAAGGACCACCAATCACCACCAACAACCACCACCACTATTACCATAATTCTTTTACATACACACTCACACGCACTCCTCTTCAAAGAACAAACAGGTTCTTTTTATTTTTGCGACTATTAAATTAATTCTTTTATTTTGTAATATCTTTTTCTCTCTCTCTCTCTCTCTCTTTGTAGCGTACTATTTGTAAGTGAACAACAAATAATAAGAAGAATAATAGCACAATCTCTATAAATTGTAAGTGTGTTGTAAGTGTTCGTTTACAGCGTTTATTTTGACAAACCAGAGATCATTTTATTTTTCTATATCAATTTTTAAAGGAATTATTTATAATTATATTGAAAAAGTGATATTATCCAAAAAACATTGATATCATTTTCACAATACATATATATATATATATAATATATATTTGTTTTTAGAAAGATCCTGTTATAAATTGAATAATTAGCAAAACCGTTGTATACGAATAATTGCATATTAAAATCACTCTCGAATTACACACACACACACACACACGTAAACACATACTTATATTTTTGTTTAAACTTACATAAACTATTTTACTTACACGTTACACGTATGTACGCTTCTGTCTGTCTGTCTGTCTGTCTGTTTGTCCTTTGTCTATCTATCTTATCAATTATCCATCCTTGACCTCTTCCTGTATATATGTAGATATATTGAACACTTATTCAAAGCACACACACATACATACACAGAAACACTTGTTTTTTATGTTCTCCAATAAAATCTGCAGAACACAAATAGGAAAAACAGAACAAAAAAAACACACATATATATATATATATATATACAGATATATTTGTATTATTAGAAAAACAAACAAACAAGATTCGCACAGTCTTATTCGCTATATATATATATATATATAAAAAGAAAAAAAATAATAAAAAGAGAAAAAAGAGAAAAAAGATAATTATAAAAACCACGTACCGTCACGCAATCTATAAGTTTAATTATTATTAGTCAAGTAAGTAAGTAAGTAAATAAGTAAGTAAATAAGTTGGTCATTTATTCGCAATTCACGGTCCTTCTGTACATAGGTAAAATATTTACATGAGTGAAAATAACGTATGTAGGTATGTATGTATGTATGTATGTATGTATGTATGTATGTATATGTGCATGATGGATAAAAGGAGAGGTTTTTCTTGGTATGTATGATACAAAATTATCTGTATTTCTCTTTCTCTCTCTCTCTCTCTCATTTGGATGTTGTATGCATGCAAATTGTAAGCGTGAAAAAAAAAAATAAAATATATATATATATATATATAGAGAGAGAGAGAGAGAGAGAGAAAGAGAAAGAGATAGCAGAAAAGTTGTAGGAAAGAAGAGGAAATTAAAACAAAATATCTATTATTGTTTCGTTTATAAATTTCTCAAGGAAAAAAAAAAAAAAGAAAAATAATAATAATGATGCCTCCTCTTTTCGTGCTAATAATAATGTCTTATTAAAATATTCCATTTAAATTAACACGACGAATATATATATACACACATATTATGTTTGTAAAGTTTGACAGTAAAAGAAAAAAAAGTATGTATGTAAAAAGAAAGAAAGAAAGAAAGAAAGAAAGAAAGAATGAAAAAGATAAAACATGTGTGATTGGAGGATAAAGATAATGGAGAAATGAAAAAGGATCATCGTTTGGTTGTTTTTTTTTTGTTTTTATTTTATTTTGTTTTTTTTTAACTTGAAGGATCCTCGGGACGAAACAGGGTAAGAAAGAATGTAAGATTATATGGGGTGTAAAATACACACACACACACACACAGGCGTGGATTTTTTTAAATAATATATGTATATATATATTTATAGGATGTTGTCTTTTTTTTTTAATCGTTATTATTATTCTTGATTAATTATTATTCAAGTGCATGCAATGAAAAAACAAAAGAAAAAAGAAAAAAAGGAAACTGATA